TGATTTCATATTGGGATTTAATTTTTTTTGGGGAATAACGTCGCAGTATATATAATATGTCGGTAGGTTTAGTGTTAAGACGGCAATGCGGCCCCTCACTCGCAATATTGAGCTTGGTGGGGCATCTTCTCCTATGTTGTCGACCAGGCTAGCTAGCGCGAATGTCCCACCAAACTCCCAGGTACGACTCAGTGGGACTCATGCATTACCGTCTCACTCATACTCATGCGTTCGAACAGGACGCACCGTACGACGCTTTCGCGTCTCGCTCGCACCATAGTGCTACCTGCGTTTTACGCACCTATCCTGGTACATACGTCCGTTAAACAGTCACTGTCCACTCTTTTCTCTTATCTCACCGCACTGCATCAACAAGCTGGACAACATTAATGACGATCAGTGTACAATAAATTCATCTAAATAGACTTTATATTACATATGCTATTTTTCAATAATAATTGACCACAATTTTGTATTTTTTTGAGCCGTTAGAATGGCATTACCTCTTAAAAAAATTAAACAAAAAAGTATTCGTCTCTAGACGCGAACGCGGCACCTTACGATTACGAAGCTGAATCGTTGTCAACGCGCCCAATGCATATTCTTCGTACATGATGATCCATAGCTGGTGGAAATGCGCAGCCTCACTTGTTGCGATACGGACTCTCATGAAAATGTAAGAGAAAAATTGACAGCAATGGAAAAAAATCTCGTTTCCGCTTAACGCTTTAGCATTTCTAACATAGATACATTTCTTCATTTCATTTTTCGTTTTAACGTGCCGTGGTCTGATTAAAAAAACATTTGATAACGCTCGCACGTATGGCAGGCTGTTTCACTTTTCGATAGTTTAAATATTATTCAGCCGAATAGAAAAGTAGTAAAAAATGTCCCAAAAAATGGCACTTCTCCGCTAAGGTGGCGCGCCGAAACCAGAGAAAAATTGAGACCACCAAAAACAGGCTCATTGGCAATCTCCCTACTCATCTCTGTTTATAATATTAAAATTAATTTTTTAGGGAATTTTTCTTTATGTTAGCCCCTCATTCAAATATTTTATAAACTAATCGTGTTTTGCTTATATGAAATCGTTTGTAGGTCGTTTGTAGGTACTTTATATGTCATTGATGATATGAAATAATTGATTCTTTAATCGTAAATAATGAAAGAAATTTTATCTAGGGAATTCCATAAACTGCATCTAGCGCGCGTGCGTGAAGACTTCAATATGTCAAATCACATTTTACATGTACTCATCTGTATATTGTTATTAAATATTGCAATCCGAGATATCCGATATTTATTAGTGCTCTTCTCTTAGTTCCGAAATATTTACAATTGTACAGTTTAGTATTTACTATTTCATATTCATTAAAACTTCAATATGTCAAATCACATTTTATATGTACTCATCTGTATATTGTTATTAAATATTGCAATCCGAGATATCAGATATTTATTAGTGCTCTTCTCTTAGTTCCGAAATATTTACAATTGTACAGTTTAGTATTTACTATTTCATATTCATTAAATTGTTAATTAAGTGGAAGATTATAAAGAAAGGTAGAGCAGTAGAGCAGTAGTAGAGTTTGAATCAGTTATTATCTACACAGAAGCAAATACTGTGTAATCTGTTCTCGGTTTTCTTATTCAAAAGGTAATTTTTCTTATCAATTTATTGAACTTGATGCACATAGCGTACAGCGTCATGCATAATTTGTATTTTTTTACAGAAATGGATGCTCAAACAACGGGTAAACATGTATCATCAATTGTTCTTGAAAAATAGACTCTGTTTTGGATGCTTAACGTGAATGGAACGTTGCCTTTATCTCTACATAAATACTGTTACCTCCATCACAATTGTAAATACATATTTAATTTATTCTAGTACTTAAAAGTATACTCGGATAGTTATGTATTTACAGTATTTATTAATAAAATAATTTATACAACAAGGAAAAACATCTCCAAACTCTTATGTTGCCATGATATTAGATTTCTCCCTAAGCACCTTGAATTCTGCACTTTTCTTTGCCAGAATAGATACCGGCGTCCAGACGTAATTTGTGCAATCACCTAAACAGCAGAAGGAATAGTACTACTATTAAAAAAAAATTAAAAATTGTTCAATCTAAATAATAGCTGGCTTATGTTGGTAGAGAATTCCAATCAATTTAATGAATATGAAATAGTAAATACTAAACTGTACAATTGTAAATATTTGAGAACTAAGAAAAGAGCACTAATAAATATCGGATATCTCGGATTGCAATATTTAATAACAATATACAGATGAGTACATGTAAAATGTGATTTGACATATTGAAGTCTTCACGCACGCGCGCTAGATGCAGTTTATGGAATTCCCTAGATAAAATTTCTTTCATTATTTACGATTAAAGAATCAATTATTTCATATCATCAATGACATATAAAGTATCTATAAACGACCTACAAACGATTGCATATGAGCAAAACACGATTAGTGTATAAAATATTTGAATGAGGAGCTAACATAAAGAAAAATTCCCTAGAAAATTAATTTCAATATTATAAATAAATGATGGACTATCAAACGTCGTGGATGCAATATCAAACACCTACAAACGACCTACAAACGATTGCAAAAAAAAAATCATTCAAATTCGTTATAGATGAGTGGTCAAAGAGGTATAGTGGAGCCTTGATTTTCGCATATGGTTTTTCTCATTTTTCTTGCAAGCGATGGACTATCAAACGTCGTGGATGCAATATCAAACACCTACAAACGACCTACAAACGATTGCAAAAAAAAAATCATTCAAATTCGTTATAGATGAGTGGTCAAAGAGGTATAGTGGAGCCTTGATTTTCGCATATGGTTTTTCTCATTTTTCTTGCAAGCGATGGACTATCAAACGTTTTTATTAGTCAATTTGTAACTATCACACGATTTCGCATCGATTGAACTCCAGAAAAACAAAATCCGGCTAGAAGCAAAAAAGTGCCAGCTAACTTCACACCAGATTTTGATTTTGATTTTCTGTAAAAACTATTGACTATCAAACGTTTTTACAAGACTATCAAACGACTATCAAACGATTGGAATAAAAAAAAGTTTAAAAATAAAAGTTGGCCGGCCAACTTCACGCAGGTCAGTTCGACCCTAGATGCGCGTTTCCACCAAACCTGATTTCGGCCAACCTGGCATCATTCGTAGGGTTAGGTCTAAAATTGAGTTTGGCGTTTCCACCGCACTACCGTTTGACTCAACTCTGTTTCAACCTTGTTTCAACTCAACTCTTATTGTAGTGGAAACTAAGCCAATGCATTTCAACTCTGAATTCATAAGTAGTAAAATGTTTCATTTATAATTTTGCTATTAATTTTATAAAGTAGTAAAATATTCATGTACTTTCTTCAGGGCTTAATAATATATCACTTTGCAATACATGGATTCAAAAATATATTATTCATATTCATTTAAAGAACAACTAGAATCTGTCAAATTAGTGGATAATTCAGATCCTCTTTGTTCAACGCCAAGTAATGAAGGACATTTCGGTTGATACTGCTCCACAGCTTCTAAGAGACTATCTGGATACCCAGGAGAATAGTATCTAAAAAAATATACAAAATGTATTAACCAGTAAATTTATACATATATAATATAAGATTTTCCTATTTAGCAGTGTTAACTTTATCGACTGGTATACTTTAGAACATGCATAACTCACTGACTATGTCAGATGGCGTAACTAGCAAGCAAAAAGTAGAGTCCCTCTAGTCAGAGTTCGGCCAACGGTGGGGCCTCTTACTGATTGGCTCCGCCATTTTGAGGGCTCTTTCCGGAATAGGATGCTGTGTGTGAATACGTATATGGGAGAGATTCGCATTGTGTAATGTGGGTAGAGTTAAGCCCTGTACGGCGAGGTGCCTGTACTTGGCGCGAGACTCGACCGAGTCTTTTGATGGTAAAGATTGATAGTTTGAAAATCCGCGCGCAATGTCATGGCGGCGCCAAACGAGCCTTAAACGTGGCGTCCCTTCCAGGTGTTGGCCGGACTCTGACTAGAGGGACTCCAGCAAAAAGTAATAGGCAGAATATATAGCTAAAAGAAATCTGTCAAGTTTTTTCATTGCTGGTATCTGTTAGTATCTTGACGTGAACATAACTTCACAATTATCGTCAGAGAAAAACATCCTAAACAATCAGCAAAGATAGCCATAGGAAATTAAGGAATTTATAAGCTGGAGTAGCACCTATAATACCTACATATATATAAAAATATTGATCCGTCAAATAACTTAATGCATTGTTGAATACTAAAAGTCAACTCTAACAAATATGACTCCTAAATCGCATAATATATGCTTCACTTAAATAAGCGCAATTTCCAACCAATCTCAAAAATTAGATTATTTTTCTAATATTATTTCACGAGGAATCATTGCGTACATACTACAGCTTGCAAGATCTGAGTAAGTACATTGTAAGTCATTATAATTGTTTTTATAGAAGCAACTAGTGTTTCTTTTTATGACTATTGACGCTAAACTAATCGCTTGCAAACATTGCGATATATAAAACGTAAATTTTATGTATATTTATATGCAGCACAGGATAACTCTTAAACAGGTAGGTAATACAAAATAGCTTAAAGAAACTATTGAGCTTTAGATAATTTTTTTTTCCCAATTTTAAAATGATATTAGTTTTGTAAAGTGAATAATGTCTGAAAACAGTTTTTTCTGGTACCTGACAATTTCTTCAGGAAAGCAACAATTGATCACACTAATATATTCCGAAAGAGTAGATCCAAGCTCAGTCTGAATTTCTTGGACTTTTCGTAATCCTCCAGTTGTTACAAACAACCGTCGAATTCTTGCATCATTGGGAAGTATCTGTAACATTAAAACAATCTAACAAGGAAGCAAAATACCAATTTGTTATATTGCAAAAAATAATGTAGGTAAAACAATATTAGCTTTTATCCTTTAGATTGCATCTTATCTACCATCCAAAAGATCTAATTCCTTAGACATTAACATGTAATGAAACAAAGAAATATAAACTATTTTATTAAATATTGTTAGTCAAACATTTAAGACATCTAATTAAAATAATTATTGTGCTTGGTGTTGGATATGTATATGAAACTTAAAACTTGTTGAACCTAACCTGCATATGATTTGAACGTTTCTTTGTAGTACAAGGTCAAAAACACAAAGTAGTTAAATGTTTATTGTGTTTCTTTAATAACACATAAGTATTAAACATAAAGTAGAATTTTTCATTTTGCTTTTGTAATATTTGTGCTCCAGTAACAAAATCTAAATTTGTGTCATACCCATGCATCAAATCTGAGAATGCTATTTGTCAATGAAATATTTAAGGTTGTTTACAAATAGGGATAAAGTTTAAAATCGTTTGTTCCTTGCAATTAAAATTCAAGAGTGGTTGATGAAATTTTCCCTCTATCTTATCAAACTTACAATATAACGTCTGAAATCAAGATAATTTTTCTTGTTTGTTTGTAATTATGATAAGGACAGTTTAACATTGTTAATTCTGAAATATAATGAAAACACAGCACAATATGAAAGAGAACAATTGCATAACATATAGTATGATCTTACTGACATTTTTTAGGATCTTAAATATTCAGTGATTTATGTTTGCTTGAAAGAGATTGATAAATAATTTTATTAAAGAATATTTTTAATGACTGGAACATAATTATTTTCTCAAGAAAAAAATAGAGTTCATTGTTTTAAAGTCACGTCAGACAGTAACAGCCTATTGACAAAAAATATTGGCAATAACTGCTAAATATTCAAGACAGTGGAGAAAAATCATGAGATTAGCATTTGCCTTCTGTATTCATTTCAGTCCAGCCAGTCAAGATTCGAAAACCAGAGGGCACATAAAGGCAGGAGACCTTCAAAAAGAATACAAAAAACATTAAAGTGTGACTTAGATGATTTCTGGCTATTCAGATGACTTGGATGACTGCAATCAAAATGATGTTACTGGATACCAAAATCACAGGATCGAGAGAGACAAAAAAAGAAACTCAATGAATCCTCATTGTGTCTTTTCTTACATGGAAATTATCATAAAAATTGCCCTAAAATAATTGAAATCAAATTTAAATCCAACAAGGAATTACAGAATAATCTATCTTATAATAAATATTTATACAAGATTTTAAACGTTTCAATATTCCTAAAACTTCAGGGAGCAAACAGTGGAAAAAATTCAAGATAAATAGATTCAAGTGTAAACTGAACAGGTGCGGAGGCAAATTGACGCAAGAAATACTTGGATTTATGCAAACAGTGTAAAGTTTCACAAACAATTTACTTGTAACTCTGTTAGTGTAGGTATTGGTGTCAGTGATAGCACTCGTGCACAATTGTACCCAGCTATGAAAAACTAGACAGAAGGTCCATTTATCCACTCCTCCGTGAAGTTAATATAATAGATTATTATACAACGTCCTAGTATAAAACATAAAATAGACAAAGGACTTCAAAAATTATATAAGTGTAACTGTGAATATTAGCCTCACGAGAAGTGTCGGCATTTCAGAAATTTCAAGTGTTCGTGCATTCGACATTGTGGGTTTCTTCATGTAACGCTCTTGCATTCTCAAAGGTAGAGAATCAACATGATAAATAATCAACAGCGCGTCATCCTGAATGCAACCGAGACACAAAATCATCAACCAGTGTCAGCCAAACCTTCTGTAGTTTCAGTATCAAGCATTGATTCTGACGTTAGTGATAGAAGAGATGTCCGTGAGGCACTTTATGCCGGCATCTTTCGAAGACATAGGAAAACTATCTTAGTTTTGGGAAGCTTCCTCAAAATGCTCAGGGTGAATAGAAACATGAACAACTATGCTAGTATTAAAGCCAATGATGAAGCCGATGAGTAACTTATATGCTAATTCACATAGTAGTTTTGACATTTCAACATCATCATTTGTTCAAATATATTTCATCTAATTAAATTATGATACATGATATTTCATATTTCAAAAGGCAAGAACTCCTAAAAATAAAACTTCGTCCCTGAGGTTTTTAAATTGTCACAATAAATATTAAAACTAAATTGTAACTTACTATATATTTTAATCTAATCTGTTCAATCGATTGTTTAGGAATACGAAAATTTGTTTGCAATCAGCAGATTGATAAATTTATGGAAGAGATAAAAACAATCGAAATAGTTGACTTATGTTATTAGTTCCGTTATATTAGAAATTTCATAACAAATGTCTGTTATATCGTGTAGTCCCTTGACCAATACATATCTTTAATGATATAATGAATAATCCGTGAATTTCAAACCATTCTTATGAATTGATCATATTCATTTTCACTTTATTTAAATTTTCTATTTTTGTCGTTAATTTCTATACGTTAAAATACACATATATTCAATTCAGTTTTCAAAAAAATATGTTCTTAATTACTCGATTTCGAGGAAATACTAGTGAAGAGGGCCGAGATTTGCGTCTGACCGGTATTGGGCACAGCGGACACGGAAGATATGTTGGAACCAACGCATACGTTCTGGAGGTAGTTAATAAGCCAAAAATTTCATTTCAAACATATAATGCACGTGGGCATTATTACATCATTAACCCTCCTCGCCAGTATACGGTTAAAGTTTTCAATGATCTAGTTAAAAAATATTCCATTTATAAAGTCCAATGTAGAAAGAAAGCATATATAGAAGACAAAGTTGTTTAACAACTGCCATAAGTAAAATTTTTTGAATATATAAGTTACACAATTCTAATCGTGTTCAGAAAATTATTCTTGAAAAATAAAATATGATAATTTTCTTCTTTCTTAGGTTCCATAAAAATTTATACATTCCAAATAAGAAAATAGGCTCAATTTCAATTCCAACTATACTCAAACATGATTGCCATATATGAGCTCAAATTGCGTTTACTATGTGACGAGGCACATTTGATTATTTGGAATGTGTACATTGCAGATTGTGAGAGTACGTAATCTATATTAATAATTAATTGCATCAATATTATATTGTGCTTACGTCTAAATGACGTACTCAAAATTCGAAAGTTCCTTCTCGTTGCTTCTTTTTATGAAATGTTACTCTACCCACAGCAGAAAAACAAACTTGTTAATGAGTTGTGGCTTATTCGTTCATCCGAAAATAATATCAGATATTAATGACATTCCGTCCAATAAGATTTTAAATTATTTTTGTCATTACTCTGTCTTTATTTTTCATAAATTTTCTTCCTCCCTACTTCTTTTTTTATACCTTGTATAACTAAAATACTATGAACAACGATCGTAACTGTACTATAAAAACTTTATGAAATATTCAATACTAACTTAATGCCATACTTAAAATGTACAAAATGCAAGTATAATTTTTCCAAAAAGAAAAATAACATTTCCACAAAATTCACTTGCAACAGTAAATTTTCATTCTATTATACATACTACACAATGTTCATTCACGTTATGACACATTTACAGAATGTCTTTAGGACGCCTGTACAGGCACATGACGGTCAAAATAAATTTAAAAGATATATAATATTATAAGGTATATCCAAATTTATATTATGTAGGTGATTGCACAGTTTGTATGTAAAATTACACAGGTTATTTTTCATAAAGTTATAATTATTTGATACTCATTTTTATGTTTACACAGACTTATGTCAGAGAGGCGTTATGTCGGTTCGCCAAAAATCCAGGAAAAATTTATATATATCAGGTACGGCACTCTTTCTGATCCTATTTTTTCTTTCTCATTTTTTTTATTTACTATTTCTCTTAATCAGCTCCTTTATCTTATAGTTGATAACACTCGTCAAAAGTAATGACGAATGAGCTATCGGACGGATAAATTATTTATATTTGTACCATATACTGATTTTCCAATTCCCAAATTGATTATGTATAATGTCTATTAAAATGAAAAAAAATGATTTTTCCTATTTAAAAGCAAAACATGATTTCACAATATTCCACCGAAGCTGGGTTATTTTACTGTTTCATCGGCTTATTTATGTTGGTTTTTTTCCTTTTTTCAGACATACTTGGATAGAATACATGCTCTCTGGGTCAAGTATTCGTTTTAATCGCATCATAGAAACAGAATGCATTATAAATAAAGAGAACCAAAAGTTAAAAACAATTTTCTAATAAGTAAATTTGTTTACATAAAATTTGCTCTAGGATTTAATTTAATTAATGATTTTCACCCAACAAAATCATACACATGATTATCGACTAATGACTTCTTTTTCCAAGTCAGAAAAGGAAAAGAACTATAACAGAAAATTGAGGAAAGAAAAACTGAGAGATGAATATATGTAAATTATATTAAAGTCCGATTCCTCTGACACTTTTTGGATATAAACTCGGCTTATCTTAAAAATTAATATGAGTGATTGTCTAATCATGTAGTTAAACCAATTTTAAATATTAAACTGTATTGAAGAAATCGAGTCTAAGTTAGATCTCGAAGGTGGTGTATCGGTGCAATAAATTTCATTGCCAGGCACATAGCGTTATTCCTCTTCTCTAATGAATCCGGTGATCTATGGAAACGCTCGAACCAGCAGTGTTTATCGTGAAACTCATTTGAATATCTATAAGGGTCAACCCCAGCGACGGACAAAGTCTAGTGCAGTGATTTTTATTAAACTATTTACGGTGAACAGAATAGAAACAGACATTAATGAATAATGTGAATAATTATTTGTCTTTACATCTTTTACACGAATTGAAGCACTAAATTCTTCTCAGATAGCCAGGGAATTGACTAACTGTTGTAAAAATATAAATTTTCAAATAAGAAACAAGTAAAGCATCAAGGCTTGTGACACTTAGAGCTTTTTTGAAAAACACAAATATATAATGGCCTTAGACTCAGTTCAACAAAAACTGACTTGTTATTAATTGAATATAAAACGTACAACGAAGAAGAATCAAACAACCATAGTCAGAAATTATTGCTGTTGAAAGACTGAAAAATTTAATGCGTTTTCACGCTATAAAACCTAATTTTTACTGGTGAAATATATAAATATACAATCTCAGAAGAAATAGCATTGTTATAAAATTTTATAATGGCTCATTCCTCTCCGCGTAGGAATAGGTTTATAAGTCGTTTGGTGCGAGAAATATGTGACGAAGAATTGCAGTATCCTTGGTGAAATTAATCGAATGCTAAAATAGGAATTCGTTATTCTACAATATAATGGCGTGAAACTTTGTATTTAAAAAAACGTGTGTTAATAATCCAACAGTCTTACATTTTTAAAAAGTTTAATTAGGGTAATGTCCAGATAATTTCGGCAAGGGTCAAAGAGAGAACAAGGAAAAAATGAGAATAATGAGCTAAATGAAAAGAATATTAATGACGGACGACACGATTATGTGTTGAGTATAGTATAAGCTTATAACATAAGCTAATAAACATTCGCCTTACCAATTTTGATCTAGAATGAAGAATTTTATACAGGGTGTTCCGAAACTACCTGTCCCGGTGGGTATGGCGGTGTTCGGGAGGCTTCACTGATCACGAAAATGACCTTCTTTTTGTCCGGAAGGTCATAGTTTTTAAATGGGAGCAGGTCAAAGTTGACTAATCAAAGGGAGGCGTCAAGAGAAACGTACGCACCTACGAACTCTGAGTTTTCTTCCCTCGCTTTTGTTTCTCGGTAGCTTGTTTCTTGTTTCCCATAGGCATGTCTTCGGCTGACGTCATCCTGCCCGAAGCCACCGAGAAACAAAAGCGAGGGAAGAAAACTCAGAGTTCGTAGGTGCGTACGTTTCTCTTGACGCCTCCCTTTGATTAGTCAACTTTGACCTGCTCCCATTTAAAAACTATGACCTTCCGGACAAAAAGAAGGTCATTTTCGTGATCAGTGAAGCCTCCCGAACACCGCCATACCCACCGGGACAGGTAGTTTCGGAACACCCTGTATAAAATTCTTCATTCTAGATCAAAATTGGTAAGGCGAATGTTTATTAGCTTATGTTATAAGCTTATACTATACTCAACACATAATCGTGTCGTCCGTCATTAATATTCTTTTCATTTAGCTCATTATTCTCATTTTTTCCTTGTTCTCTCTTTGACCCTTGCCGAAATTATCTGGACATTACCCTAATTAAACTTTTTAAAAATGTAAGACTGTTGGATTATTAACACACGTTTTTTTAAATACAAAGTTCACCGGGTTAGGTAGTTTCGGAACACCCTGTATATCCTACTTCAAACTATAAACAGGCAGAAGATACTACATTAATAAACGATTGCTCCTTCCCTTCTGTTAATAGTTCTACTGCTTACGGATTTCACACTTATTAGTAGATTTACTTATTAGTAGACAGGCAAGATTAAAGAAAATTGTTCTACAGTAGCTTGGCAGTAGTAATGTCACATCATCGTTAATGAAATAATTCAATAATTCTACTAAAGAGTCGACCAAATGTGCATTTTATAATATATCAAAATAAAATAGGGTGAAATTTGTAGAAAAAATTAGTTTAAAGGATTCGTGACGTAAGTGTAAGAACTATTTATATATTGTGTATACGGAGTATATATAACTGATTACTGTAAATGTGAAAAACAAGAAGAACCAATTGATATTATATTCAATATTTATATTCAAGATCTCTGCAAATCTTTAGTGATGAGTTAAAATCCACATTTTTATATTATTAATGACTATAAATTCATATCTAACATGACTCACCTTGCTGTACTGTCCGACGACATATTTGAGAATATCTGGTGGAGCATCATGCAACAAAGGTTCTAAAGCTTCTACATGTATACATTTTTGAAGAACTTGCTTTAACGTAGCCTTACATTTTGCTTTCAAATCTTCGTCACATTTTGGATTAGTGTACAACTACAAAAATAAATTTATATTCAGTATGCACATAAATTTCTTCAAAATAAAAAAGGTCTAACCTCTATTAGTTTTGGAAATATATTGGCCACAGCTAAAGCCTTAGCGTGCTCTGGCGTGTGCTTTCCAATTTGTCCTAACGCCCAAACAATAACAGCGCGTATATGATCTTCTTTTTCTTCTTGTAGAAGAAGAGCAAGTTGGATGACGCCCTACACAATATTTAGTGTTTATTATTTACAATATTTGAATAGTAGTACTTGTTAAACAAACGGAACAGATCAAGTCTTTAAATATTAGAAAATATGTACCGCCGACCCAATAATAGCTATGGCTAACTGATTAGACTGCCCTGCTATATAACCAAGGGCCATTATAGCTGGTAATTTGGGAGAAGATTTTGATGTGCCGATCAGGTCTATTAACCCACCTATGCCGCCGGTATTGACAACAAGTTGTGCTAACTGGAATAAAAAGTCTAAATAAATTTATATCATAAATTAATTATTTATATTGTTTTAATAATAGGCATGACCGCTAGGAACACTTGGGACTGTCTTAAGAATCTTATCAAAGGAATTAAATATGCGTATATGTGCAAGCAATTGTTGTAGACGAAATGTCAGACCGACTGCTAAAGGGGTACATTGGGAACACCAAAAATTACACTTCTGGGAATTTTTGTTAAGAAAATTATATATTTTAATAATAAAATTTTTGTTAGTTTTGAAGATCATATTCTGGAAAATTAAAAAAATTAAGTTTTCAAATAATTGTACGGCGATGATACAGCTGTTGGCTATCCCGCATGTATTTAAATGAAAAAAATAGCATTTATAAGCATTACCACTTCTGACTTCAAATTAGTATGCCTGCAAATGAATTTTTTTGCTATAAGGAATATATAATATAATATATATATATACCGCATCTTATATGATGCAGTCCCATGAATCGTGCGATTGTGCCTGGAGAGAAATTTGTTTTCTTCGACATGTAATACTGTGTATACCTCTAAGGAATGCTTGCAAATTTCCTTAGTTAAGATAGCTGCGTTTCTAGAAACATCTTCGTCTTGATGAGCCATGTATATTAAGACTTCTGGAAAAATGTCAGCCTCCACAATGATTTCAGCTAATTCTACAGCATGCTTAGCTAAACATCCCAGAGCAGACAACACTTGTCTCTATTGGTAATATAAAGATAATAATAAAAATCTGAGTGCTTCATCTTAAAAATACGAATTTAGACCGCAGTACTCTGAAATATGTTTTCTTAAATTTGTCTAGTCTTACATATACTGATATTAGACTACTTTGGTAAAGAGTAGCAAAAAAAAACATGCTTTTTAAATTCAGTTTTTAGAAAGTAGTTTGAAGATTAATTTAAAAAAAAAAAATACACAATTTTCGGCAAAATTCTAAAAATTGCTCAGTAAATTATATACAATTATAATATAATTTGATTCGTAGACACTTTTAGATATTTCATAGAATAATTTTGCAAATTTTATATAAATTATTGTAAAGTTCAACAGAAAAATGTTTAATTATGAAGATGTGCCATAAAAATACTTCTGTATCACAACATACACAACTATACAATCAAATAACTATGTAACTAATGTGAACTTAAATACATGGATATTGAAGCTCATAGCAACACAAATGATAGAAATGGAGAATTGAGATTGAAATGAGGACAAAAAAGAATATAAAAAGATTGGAAAACCTTTAACTTAGCATCAGGATTGGAGATGTATTTTCCCAGAACAGAAACTGCCCCAGCATCTACAACTGTTTGAGCAAGTTCTAAACTGTGTTTGCTAATATCACAAAGGACAGAAGCACTCACTTGCTTCAAGCATAATTCAGGCTCTTGCAAGCATAAGATCAAGAGTGAAACTGCTCCTAAAATTAAAAGAAAATATAATAACGAAGAAATCAAAATATCTTGAACTTACCAGCATCTACAATTGCTTGAGCAAGACTTTTATTATGCTTTGCAATATGACCAAGACATAATGCAGCAACCTCTTTAACTCCCATATCAAAATCTTCAAGACAAATAATACTAGCTTCCAAACCACCACTATGAACAACAGCAGAAGCCATTTCAGGAGTGTGTTTTGCAATAGCCCTTAACACAAACAATGCTGCCTTTTTATAGAATTTCTATGGTATATATAGATATATTAAGCTCAAAGAAAATATCTAATACTTCTTATATTTCTAGGAATTACATTTTGCTTATCTATTCCACGTAAAAGTTGGGGTATTATTTCTCTTCGGACCAAAGCCTGTGCTATTTTTTCATTAAAGGATGCCAACCTTCCTAAAGCAATAGCAGACATTTGTTGGATTGAAGGAACTGTATCCGCAAGCAATAGACGAAGTAAATCAAGCGCTCCAGCATTTTCTAAGCATTCAACATTATGTGTTCTTGAAGCTAAATCCGCCACAGTCTGTACAAAACTCATTCGAGCTTTTTGATACTGATCAAACACTGCAAATCATTTTAAATCTTTTCTTAAACTGGAATTGATTTCGTGGCTCAACTATACCTTGTACTATTGTTCGAGCTGTCATCGCTGCAAATACTTTAGCCTCTTAAGGGAAAAATTTTATTCGTGTCGGATATTATTTGGTAAAAGAACAAAATCGTAACGTTGCTATAGCCTACGTTAAAACGACCGTCTTAAACCGGTTTAATTAACATTGATCTAAAGGAATTGACCAATCCCAAATATTACTTATAAATAGAAATGTCTATTCAGACATGAGTAGGGAGATTGCCAATGAGCCTGTTTTTGCAGAGATGAGTAGGGAGATTGCCAATGGGCCGATATTCTTGAAACCAATTTTATTTTGGAGTAAACGCACCACCTGAGCGGAGGGCCGTCGAACCATACCCACGTTCTTGATTGGTCGAGTATATATAGATACACTACGCGTGATATTCGTGAGCTCCGTGAGCCGCATGGATTATACCGGG